GGGTGTGCCTAAATGGAAAATCTTGAAACAACTATTCTACTCATTTCATAGTTCAATTAATTTGATATACGGTTTTTTAACGTTCGATTCCATATAGTGGAGAGAATTTTTATTGAGTATCTCGATCCTTCTGCTGGGATACTGTATCCCTCTCAGCCCAGGTTGGCACCGAAAGGCCAGGTCAGAAGCCCGCCTCATGAATGATCAGAATTGTGTTGATGTTGTTGTTAGCGATCCAGTAGTTGTGTTGATAGAGGCTTAAAGACGCCTTTGTTTAAAAAAAACATTCTTTTTGTCCACCTCTCTCCCTACCGACACCAACCACTTCTTGACCTGCGTTCTCATAAATATGTGAGGCAGCGTGGTGGAATCAGGCTCTCGTCAAAATAATCAAAGTGAAGAAACTTGCATTATTTCGCAGGTTTATGAATTTTTACCAATTTTTTGTTTTTTGGCTCAACACCTTTCATGCCTATTAAAGAACTCATTTCTGTGGAAATTTTTCTGAAAATCATTGATTAAAGGCACTAAAAATGTAAATTTTCAGTTACCACGGACTCTTAAGCTATGGAAATAACCTATCTTTGGCGGCCATTTTCTCGCTAATTTTACCTCTGAAAACAGGTGACCCCCACCTCCTTCTTTCGCAAATATCTCGACTTGTATTCAAGATAAATAGATATTTTTTTCATCAAAATAAAGACAATTGAACAAGCTTCAAGATGATACCAATAACTCTACACGCCCAAAAATTGACGAGAGCCTGATTCCACCACGCTGCCTCATATATGATAGTAGGTGGCTGGCGGGTGCTCTGGTGTGGTTTGCTCCTTCTTTCCCATAGAATAGTTATCTTCCTGGTCTCCCCTCCGGTTTTTTTGTGTGTGTTTTTACTTTCTTGTAATACCTCTAATCTTCTGCTCTTCTATGACTGTATTGTGGGTGCAAGTGCCGTAAAACGCTTACTATAAAAAGAAATATGTGTGGCGTGCTGACAAAATGAGTTACTTCTTGCAATCCACAAATGGAGATATTGGCCAAAAATCAACACCGAGGTCAAATTAGCAGATCTTCTCTTGATGCTTTATTTTTTATGTATAACATGCCTCTTATTTCATACTCATAAATTGTAAAACTTCACTTATAAGCATGAAGTTTTTATTTCCATAAGGCTTGAATCCGAGAAGTAACTCATTTTGTCAGCACACTTCACATATGATATCTCCATGTCTGAATACTATGGAATGCTCCAAACTTAATTTGTTATTTGATTGTGTTTATAAACGCTTCTCCTGCTCCTCCTCCTCCCTCTCCTCCTCCTCTCCAACTCCTCCCCAACCCTCCCTCTCCTCCTCCTCTCCCACTCCTCCCCAACCCTCCCTTTCCTCCTCCTCTCCCTTTCCTCCCCAACCCTCCCTCTCCTCCTCCTCTCCCACTCCTCCCCAACCCTCCCTCTCCTACTCCTCCCCAACCCTCCCTCTCCTCCTCTCCTCCTCCTCTCCCACTCCTCCCCAACCCTCTCTCCCCCTGTTCCTCTCTTCCCCTCCGGTCTCTGACTCTCACCTGTGCTGCTTTATTTCTGTGTCCAGGAGCGGCCGGTCATGTCAGACGCCCAGCGGCGCAAACAGCGCGAGATGGTGCAGAAGGAAGTGGAGAAACTGAGGGGTAGCATCCAGGGCCTCACTCGTAGTGCCAACCCCCTGGGCAAGGTAAGGGCTGATTGATACAGAGAATGTGTGTGGTATAGGGCAAGGTAAGGGCTGATTGATTCATATACAGGGTGTGGTTGTGTAGGATAGACGGTGTGTGTTTTATAGTTGAAGGTAAAGACTGATTGATTGATACAGAGGGTGTGTGGGTTGTATAGGATAGACGGTGTGTGTGGTATAGGGGAAGGTAAGGGCTGATTGATATACACGGTGTGTTTGTCTGTCTGTGTGTGTGTGTGTGTGTGTGTGTCTGTCTGTGTGTGTGTGTCTGTGTGTGTGTGTCTGTGTGTGTGTGTGCACGTGCAGGTGATGGACTATGTGTTGATGAAGGCTTATAAACAGTGTACAACAAGCTGCTACAATGTACTGTCTGTCTGTCTGTCTGTCTGTCTGTCTGTCTGTCTGTCTGTCTCTGTGTGTTTGTGTGTGCGTGTGTGTGTGTGTGTCGATAAAGGTTTATTAACAGTCTGCAACGATACAACAAGCTGCTACAATGTACTGTCTGTCTGTCTATCTGTCTGTCTGTCTGTCTATCTGTCTGTCTGTCTGTCTGTCTGTCTGTCTGTCTGTCTGTCTGTCTGTGTGTGTTGATGAAGGCTTATAAACAGAGTACAACAACCTGCAACTATGTACTGTATGTCCATCTCTCTATGTGTTTGTCTGTGTGTTTGTCTGTGTGTGTGTACAGGTGATGGACTATATGTTGATGAAGGCTTATAAATAGTGCAAAATGTACTGTATGTCCGTCTATGTGTCTGTGTGTGTGTACAGGTGATGGACTATATGTTGATGAAGGCTTATAAATAGTGCAAAATGTACTGTTTGTCCGTTTGTGTGTCTGTGTGTGTGTACAGGTGATGGACTATGTACAAGAGGACCTGGACTCGATGCAGCAAGAACTGGACAAGTGGAAGTCAGAGAACGCTCAACACGCTCTCGACCTCAAGAGAGAGATGAGGTGAGACGCTCTTTTTTTTGTTAACGTCACAAGTCCAACAGTTGAAATATCTAGGATATATAATAACATCTACCAGAACTTCCCCCAATGTGTCCCTTGTGTGACTATGCATATGAGACTGTGGATCATCACCTATTCCACTGTACAGCCCTAAATGACATCAGAGCTACCCTTCTCCCTCCGAGACCTAACATTGACAACACACTCTATGGAACATTACTACAGCAACTGCAGCAAACCTGCACTTATCACTACATGGCATTGGACAGAAGGGTGAGAGCCCAGCTGTTGCTGGATCGATAACAACAACAACAACATAATAATAATAATAATAACATCTGATGCCAAATGTTCCACAGAAATAAAACGGAGAATTGCAATGGCTTAGGCTAGTTTAAATAAAATGAGCCTAATCCTGAAAAATAGAAACATCTCAATGACTACCAAAGTGAAAGTTGTGAAATGCTATGTTTGGTCAACCCTTCTATATGGCTGTGAATGCTGGACAATCACTAAAGACAGTGGAAAGAAAATAGAAACAACAGAAATGTGGTTTCTTAGAAGAATGCTGAGCATATCGTGGAAGGAAAAGAAATCAAATGAGGTAGTGCTTGATGAAGCCCATGTGGGACGCTCACT